ACACAAATGCTGAAAGTTTCAAAGCTCTAACTAGTCTGGAAGATACTGAAAAAGCCATCTCAAGATTCTGGTCAAAAAAGTGGGGCACATCCCTCCAGCCCCCTCCCCTAGTGTCTTGGGCTCTTTTTTAATTTTAAAATGCACATTTATTGACACTACATAAATACCAAAATTTTCATCGTTCCAGCTAGTCTGAAAGGTAGTGAAAAATGTATAACAAGATTCCGCTACAAAATAGTGGGCCTGTGCCCCGTTAACCATATATGGAAATCCATAAACTTGCAGATCAAAATTTTTATGTTTTCTGAAAGATCATTAAACATAGAATAATGTGTACAATTTTTTTTTTATATCATCAAGGCCACATGGCTTTCTTGAGCATCAAAATCAGGTTTATAAAAAATTGCCTAAACTTATTTAAATTGATAATTACAAGTACTTAAAAATATTTCTTTACATTTCTGATTATTTCATTGGATTCTTCGACCCTGAAAATAGCCAGGTACAAATTTTTAAGTCAAAAGATCAAATATTTTTAAAGCTATGTGACTTGGAACCTTTAAACAAAGGGCACACTTCTGAGGGGACAAGAGAGGCCTGGCCAAGATCAGTTAAAAGTAAAATGATCATATTTCATGATCCTCTTGGAGCTAGAAGCTAAAATTTTCAAGGATTTTTTGTTTTACTAAGTACTCTCAACTGTATAAAAGTCAGCAAAATCTGAGATGTATGGTGACATGGCCTGGCTCAATTGACATAGAATTACCCATCTGTTTTTATCAGATCTATGGAAAGATGTAAGTCTCTTGAATGGTCTTCAGTGGAAATTATTTGTCAACAACTAGACAAATAAATATAAAAATTCAAGATTGTTTCCCACAAGCATCTGCTCACACTGCTTTGCTAGTATCTACAGAGGATCAAACCATTACAAACGAACTACTGGCTGAACAGGTCAGCTATAAAACTATAAAATCAAAGAAAGGATTAGGCAATTCAGTCATCTCTATTACGTCTCCTAATGGTCTAAAACCTTTGAAGCTATTGTTGGATGAGAACAACAAAACAATAGATGAAGGATTTCTGATTGCAGAGAATGTCTCAAGGATACAACAAGAAACTTGGCTGAATGATCATAAAGTTATTTCAATTCTGAAAAACCTGAGACTTAAATGGGGATGGAAATGTACTGTTCCTTGCATAAAGGAGGCAAAGAGAAATCAGAAAGGTCTGTGAAAAGTTATTTGCTCAGGAATTAAGTACATTTCAAGACTCTAATGGGAAAGAAATAATCCAACTCTTTATCTTCTGTTCCAATATTTTGGAATTTGTAGAAAAACTAGTATATCTTAGGTAATCATAACATTTTAGGTAATTGTTTTTTTTTAAAGATTTCATTATTTTAATCTAAATGATGAATATTTATATTATATTTAAATTGTAGAGACAGCCTTTCTTAGAGATGGCTTCAAAGTTTGGTCTTGATTTTGCAAAAGGACATCTGTAGCTAACTCTTACACTTTATTATCCAGATGATTTAACATTCATTAAACCTTCTAGTAAAGTAACCAGGAAAAGAGGTATTGGTTCAGGTAAAAATAACTTTAATCCTCCCATGCTACTGCTTTCAACTTATATACTTATTTGTATTAAGCGTTCAATAAAAACTTATTTTGGAAAATATTACAAAGACACTGGAAGGAGGAAGATTCAGATCATTGCATCAGCTCTAATAGTTCCAGAGACATCATAACTGCAAGATATTCATAGAGGAGACTCAAATCAATCTTCTATTGTTCAACTACACTGGTGACCTTAAACTCTTAAACATTGTGTCAGGAATAATGTCATGTGCATCAAAATATCCATTTTATACTGAGTCTCCAAATAGCAAAGGAAGTCAAGCCTGGCAGACATATCCTATACTAAGAATATTTGGGAGTATTGAAAGCCACAGAGAAGATTGGTTAACCTCCGGAGGGAAAAAAATCAAAGCAAAAGAGTATACTAACTGTGTGGTGACTCCTTTGCTCTTTCATGAAGATGATCCTGATGATAGCTTAGTGATCCTTAAGAGTCCACCACCAGCTCTTCATCTAAAGTTATCCCTAAATCATTTCCTTAATGAGCTACAAACATTTGGCCTGGACTTCAGGATTGGTTAGCAGGACATTCTATTCTCTTCAAACCATACCATAGTGACACACTTGAAGGTAATGAGTGTTTTAAGGTTCTAAGATTCCTTGATAGATTAGAGAAAGTACTTCCTAAAGAGCTGTCTGGTTTTTTAGATTACTTGCATGAATTTTCTAAGGTCATTGCCTCTGCAATCGTTGTGTCTGTAGATCATGATTATAAGATTGTTTTTAAAAATGAAAGGAATTCTTTTAGTCTTTACAGGAAAAGTTTAGAGTATCTGAAACCCTTAAATGAAATTTAGGGGTTTCAGATAGGGGTTTCAGATACTTTAGAGTATCTGAAACCCCTAAGAGAAATATTTTTTAATTTTATAATTTTTATAAGTAATATATATGTAAAAGAATGACATAATACATTTTATTGGGTGTTTTCATAGAAGTTCAGTTTTATCCAGGCACACGATGTACATGGGTTTTAAATGTATTTTTATAGTGTATATTTACATACAGTGTTTTTTAATGTTTTCACCCACCATTTTTCTAACATCATTAACCTGTTAATATTTGAAGATACTATTTAAAAAAAGCACACAAAAAATAATGAGACCATATATTCTGTTGTTGCTTGGTTAGTAAATAAAACTTTACTAAAAAAAAAAAAAAAAGAATTGTAAAAATTATCAAAACCACCTTAGACAGTTGTATTTTAAAGTTGATAGAGACACATTAATTCATTTAAAATCATTTTAATTCCTTGGAGTTTGATGATTTTTTTTTTTTAAAACCTCTTCATACTTAAAAACTTAGTAGATCAATTGAAATATTAGCTAATGTTAACACTTTGTAAACTTTGACACTTTACAAGTTCTTGTCATGCCATATTTGTTTCCGACCTTCGATATGTATGCGGTATTTAGAGCCAAATTAAAATGCAAACCTTAATCAATCTAAATTCCCTTCAGAACAAAAACCCCAGGAACTATTCTCTTTCAAAACTACCAAATTGATAATGTGTCTTTATTGTACAAACTGTTTCAGACTTTAAAACTAAGTGATGACATCACTCTGTTAAATTGTCTTGATAAGGATTATTTAAATGGCAGAATTTCTAAAACTTTTTATAACTTTTTTCCTTAAACTAGTCACAAACATTTTCATTTTCTTAAATCTCCTTTTTTGCAACAATACCTTTGTAGAACATTTTAAAATAGTCAAATTCGGCATAAGCTCCGTCAAACATCTGTACTTATGTATGGAATAATCTCCCTCATTGGGCTAAAACAGAAAACTTAAACTCTAAATCTTTATTTTTTTCTGTTACTGTTCCTAAGTGCTCCAAAAACTCTTATTCGTCTAGTTTTTTTCCTCGAACATCAGTTCTTTGGAATTCGCTTTCTTCATCTTGCTTTCCTGATTCATATAATTTGCAATATTTTAAGTCATCTGTCAATCGTTATCTTGCTCTACAATCTTCATCTTTTTTCTTCCAGTAACTTCCAACACTAATTATTGGTTGCTTGCAACCTTGTTGGAAGCGAAGATAATTAAAAAAAAAAAAAAAAAAAAAAGTAAATAAAAAACTATTTTCAAAGCCATTCTTAAATCATATTAGTTTCTAGAATGAGGATGCCAAAAAAATGGTACTTGGAAATTCTTTGAAAAGCTAAATATATTTAAAGCCAAGTGTAAAATATGCTTCAATATGTACAAGATAAACTGTGACAGTACATTGGCAGTGGCAGTTACTAGGCATCAAAACCAAACATAAAGCATCTTGGAAAAGAACTTTCACTGAAAACTAGAGATTTATTTAAGATACGATTTGAGAAAAAAAGTTTTTTAAATCTAAAATTTACTATTTTAGATTAAAAAAAGGGACAAAAACAATAAGAATTGATGATTGTTTAATTAAAAATCAGACTTAAACAATCATAGTTTGACTTAAATTTAATAAAGTTTGTTTGCAAGCTTGTTTTACCTTTTGAAATTTTAGATAATCAAAGAGCTCTGGAATATATAGACAAAATAAACAACAAATTTACTGTCAAGTCTGTATAAACATTTAGATATTTTTCCAGTAATTTCCGAACAAAATGGTAAAGGAGAAATTGCAAAAAGAATCTGCACCTTTTCCACAATATAAACAATATTTTAAATACAGTTAATTCCGGTAACACTGGTTAACTCGGTAACAACTGGTTACCAAGTTAACCAACTATTTAAGCAGTAACAACTGGTTAAATTTTTGTTATCTCGAAATAATATCTATAGTCTCTTGAAAGCAATAACAACGGTTTTACTTTGCAACTTAAAATAAAAGACATCATAAAAATGTAAATAAAATTATCAGTGTTTTAAAAGATTTTAAAAGACATCATAAAAATGTAAATAAAATCATACAGTGTTTTAAAAGATTTTAAAAATCAATTATTGGTTTAGTTAAACCGTTTTCCTTGGTCCCTTGGTGTTCGAGTTAATGAGTATTTACTGTACATACGTTGTCCATTGAACAAAGTGTTAATAATTTAAATTCTGGAAAAACTGATATTATTTTGAAACTGTACTTGAACATCTATAGGTAAATTTTGATAGGGCTTGATTACAAAATAAAGTGCTATCACAATTTCCCAGTTAGTTACACTTTTTTAAAATCAAAATCAAATCCCATCACAATTTACCAGCTATTTTTTAAAAATTGAAATCAACTTCCATCACATTTTACCAGAAGATTAAATTTAAAAATAAAAGTCAACTTCCATTACAATTTACCAGATAGTTACAATTTTATTTAGTTAAAGAAATTAAATTAACTCAAAAGGTTTTTTAAACTGTTTTTTATACTGAAAGAAATATTTTTTTTAGTTCATGGGAATGGAAATTCCAGAAAAGTATGGTGGTAGTGGTTCTTCTTTCATGTCAATGATTACTGTCATTGAAGAGTTAGCTCGGATCGATCCATCTGTCAGTATTATATGTGATGTACAAAACACACTAGTAAATGCTCTGCTCATACAATTAGCAACTGAAGATCAAAAAAAAGAATATCTACCAAAGCTAGCCACTTCAATGGTACTTGTCAATCTTTTGTTTGTATTGATGGTTTAAAGCACATCACATCCATATTTGACATTTTTGCCATAAATATTATTAAAAATAAATAATTAATGACATTAAAAATAAACAAAGATTACAATTTTACTGATCTTCTAAAATAATTTATATTTAGTTAATTAAGGATTTCAAACTTTGAAAATCTGTTTTCTTGAAACTGTCAAATAAGGGCATGTGTCTTTTGTGCTTTAAGCCATAGATATATACTGATTGCAATTTATAAATATTTATAAATATAATTGTTGTTCTTAGTAACTAGTATTTATATCTAATTGTTGTTCTTAGTAACTAGTATTTATACCTAATAAAACAATCGCTAGTTGAATAAATAAAGCGTGTACACGAAATAAGTATGAAAGTAGAAAAACAACTAAATAAAGGTACTCATCAACTTTTATTTAGAACTAAGTATTAATTTAATACAATAATAAAAAGAAAGAAAATATTTCAAAGAAATTAATTTGTTCCTGTGGGCATCTAATAAATTTTCGAACTTTTGTTTTGGTGATACCTATAGGCTTGCGCACAGAACAACAATAAAAACTATTTAATATTTTATAAATCAAATTTTATATTCTTTAACGTTTCTTCATAGTTTTTTTTTTTTTTTTAAATTTAAGTAATACTTACCCATTACTTTGCAATAATTTTCCATTCTAGGCAGTTTAGAGGATTTGCTATTTTAGAAATAACTTTCGTGTCATTTTGTTTATACCATCCCATTCTCAGTTTGCACGTTTTTGTAAACGACATTTTTGTTAACACTCTTTAACATGTATTTTATCAGAAAGTGTGGAATCAGAAATGTAGGGTGCTAATTTTTTTGTCATACCTGCAAATAGCTTACCAAATCAAAGCCTTTTTAGCAAACTTATTATGTATTGTATATTTAAGTTTCTTATCTGCTTTTCCTCTGTATTTGTACATTATAGTAGACAGCACCAGTAATATGCTGATGATCGCACTTTATGTAAGTTTTATCATCTTTAATAATTTAAAAATTTTTAGAAGTATACTTTTTCAAAAATTTCTTTAGAACGGCTAGGCACTTATGTGATTTGAAAGCTTAAAAACATATTTATTTCAAAATTTTACAACCAAACTAAAAGAAAATTCTTATCTTTTTGTGCGTTATGCGGATTATTTATAAAACTGTTACCAGATTTGCATTTAATAGGTTTTGTTTAGGAAAAACATTAAATAACATGAATAACGGTCTAGGGATTTATTTGCAACTTTGTTGCTATTGAATTTGGGATGTTCCAAATATTTGTGCAAAATATTTTTTGTTACGTCTTCTTCTTTTGTCATTTTTAAAACTTATTTTAAGTTAAATGGGAAAATAAAACATTTTTTTTGAAATTGTTATATGCTGCCAACAAAATACAAACACAATTAAAAATATATTAATACAACCATTAAAAAAAACGATGTGTTTTGTTCTTTTACATTTATTTTGTGTACACACTTTATTTATTTTATTTGATTATTAGTTTTATTTATTTTAGTGATTATTAAAAAAATGTTAATTGAAAAATGTAATTGTTCTTTAAAGTCTTGTTTATAAAAATGTTAATAAAAGCAATCAAAGTTTAAAATCATAAAATGTTTTAAAAGATTTTAAAAGACATCATAAAAATTTAAATAAAATCATACAGTGTTTTAAAAGATTTTAAAAGACATCATAAAAATGTAAATAAAATCATACAGTGTTTTAAAGGGATCCCTAAGTGCTATAAAGATATGATCTCATATGAAAGAGCATAAAAAAAAAATGTTTTATTTATATTATTTTTTCTAAAAAGTAATAATGAACACACACTAACAAATTTAATTTTCAAAAAAATGCTTTTCTTCGATTAAAAAAAAATGCGCCTTGTCCAAAGTTTATTGATTCTATTGCCTCAAAAAACTAACGTTAGTACGTCAAATTAAACAAAGTAGACAAAATGTCATTATTGCAAACTTATTAGTTGGTAATTAAATTTAAAAGTAAATTCGTTTTTTTTTTAACTAACACATAATTACTTACATGAATAAGTTTTGTAGCATTTTGTGAAAATATATTTGTATATTAAAATTTTTTTAATAATATTAATTTATATATATGTGTTATAAGGGCAATTCCACGGCTAAAAATGAATAGAAGTCAAATTTTAAACTCTTTTTAGTCAGTTAAAAACAAATGAATATTGACTTAGACATATGAAAGTTTATTTAAAATATTGCCTTAGTAAAAAAATAAATTTATTTCAGTAATTTTTATGGTTTCAAAAGTGACGGTTACTCTCATTTTTGCTTGATAAAAAAAATAATGATTGTAAAATGTTTTAGCTAAATTAACATTTATGTTAAATTGCTATATTTTTTTGGTTCGAATTGATTAGGTTGAATAGAAATTTTATTAGAAATTAAACTAAGACAGGGCTCGAATTAACGCAAAAAAATCTAATCGCGAAAAAATCTTTTTTTTTTTTGCTCTCTTCCCCCCTCCCCCTTCTTTCTTATAGTTCGCGCCGATGTGCGGTAATGGGGGGAAAAAATTATCGTCAATAAATCAAAAAACATCGTCAAAAACTTAATAAAAAATTAGATATCACGTTTTTTATTATTTATTGTTTCTTGAATAAAGGACTAATAAAAGTTTAAATATAATTAAGTTTTTCATTTAAATAGTTGATGTTTTTATTTAATTTTTCTATTTCAAGTTTTCCAATAAAAGATAAAACAAAAAAATTTGGTTTAATAAATCGAATTATACTTCATGTTTAAAATAAGGCTTAAAAACGTTAAAGTAAAAAAATTGCTAGTTTTTATTAGCATTTTTATACTGTTTAAAAAAAACTAATAAAAAAGAATTAACTAATAATATATTAATAAATAATTATATATTATTTCTTTTTTATTAGTTTTTTTTTTCAAACAGTATAAAAATGCAAATAAAAGTCAGTAATTTTTTTGCTCTAACGTTTTTAAGCCTTATTTTAAACATGAAGTTTTGATAAACAAAGATTAAAAACCAACTTTTCAACTTTTCGCTGTAAAAATTTTCCACGCAGAGATTTAAAGTAATTTAAATTCAAAAATGTTTTACGTTAAAAGAAAATCTCTGCGCGAAAGTGCAAATCATCTATACATCTATCTATTCAGAATAATAAATTCTGTGTGATGTTCTTTATGATAAAAAGATTACTTTTAAGAATTGCTAAAAAAAATGCTAAGCTAGAAAAAAAGTAATTAATCAACCAAAAAAAAAACGAGTCGCGAAAAGATTTTTTTTAAGAAAAAACTAATCACAAAAGTGAGTGTAGCAATCGCGATCGCGATACGCTTAATACGAGCCCTTTAAGACTTTTTTATAAGTTCTAAACTATTTAAAACTATTCCTTATAACTTTTTTTTTAACGACATCTTTCAACCAAATGCTATTATACTGTTTTTGCAAAACTAATTAAAAAAACTTGGTTAAAACTTAACTATTTAATCATGACTTTTTTTATTTTTTATTAAGTTATTGTGACATACTAACGTGATTTTTAACGACTAACAATCGAGTTTCAATGGTGAAAAAATAAAATCAAAATGGAGTTGTTTTTTAGTGATTTTGGCAATTGCTTTTTGTTAGCATGCATTTATTATTCCAATTTAGTGAAAAAGAAAAAAACCTTACATATTTTTTTTTTATGCGCTTTTATATGAGATTATATGTTAGGAGCACTTAGGGATCCCTTTAAATGATTTTAAAAGACATCATAAAAATGTAAATAAAATCATACAGTGTTTTAAAAGATTTTAAAAGACATCATAAAAATGTAAATAAAATCATACAGTGTTTTAAAAGATTTTAAAAGACATCATAAAAAGTACATACTTTTAAAAAATGTATATTTACAAAGAAAATTTAAATAATTTTTTTTTAATTTTATTTTAATTTTCATGCTATATTTTATGCTGTAATGTTCTCATATGCGATTTGAATTTTCATGCTATATTTCATGCTATAATGTTCTTATATCCAAAGATATTGTTGGCTTAGCTTAGAACAGCCACAAATAGTCATTAAGACTAATCCAAAGTAGCATCCATTATTGACCAACATTTGTGTACAGAAGTACTACTCAAATGCTGAGTTAGCGGTGGCAGGATTTTAACGTACAACAGTCTGAGTTTTAACTTTTCGTTTGACGCTCTAATCAACTGATCTATCCTGCCACAATATACAATATATAGTTTTTTACATAATTCACTAAATGTTATCTAATTTACTAATTAAATTATAATAAACTTTATTAAAATTTATTATAATAAACTTTTATGATAATTAAAAAAAAGAAAGATTTAATTTTTTTTTATGTAAAAAATCAACAAAAATAAATGTTATATTAGCAAAAAGACTTTGTTTATAAGCTTTTTGCTAATATAAAACATTTGATTAAAGTTAGTTCTTTCAGCACATAAATAAAATGTTCTCAAAACATATGAAAAGCTATTTTGTTGTTGCAACAAAGTATTATAAAGTGGTCAGATATAGCTTGCAGCTGCTATATCTGACTACTTTACATTTATTTTATATTTTATTTCTTATGAATTAAATGCAAAATTAAATCAAAGTTAGTTTGTCCCATAGTTGTTGAGTATGCATTGTTGTTGATTAATGATACTTAAAGATAATAATAAAAATCTATACCATATATAAATATAGTATTCAACAGACCATAGCAGAAATAATTTATTTGAAAAAAATGTCCACCAGAGACAGTTTGCATTTTGCAAACAATGGTCTCACACAGCTATTATCTAAATTTTGAAAATATTCTGTTGACATTTTTTAAAACACAAAGGGGAGTTAAATAGGCAGGTCATGATTTTTTGGTGTTCAAAATAGGTAATTTCCAGTGATTGTGCAAACTTTAAAATTTTTGTAATATTGATACTGGTATCAAATAAGAATGTTTTACAAAGAGTTATGGTGATTAGAGTCTGAGTATTACCCTGAAAAAAAGAGTCCCACTGTCCCAAATATAAAAGAAATTTTTCTTTTGTAGTATCTAAACTAGATAAAAAATTCATCAGGGAAATTAATCTAAAAACAATTTTATATTGTTTAAAAATGGCACTTGAGTAAAGTTAACAACCACCTTTATTTGTAAAGGTTGTCAACTTTATAAAGTTTTAACTTTTGAATGTTAAAATATCTCTTCCCTAAATATTTTTACAAATAAATTTCAGATGCTTTAATAATGGTTGAATTTTTGAAAAATGCTAATACTGCCCCTCCCCTTTAGAAATATTTGGACCTCAATACCTTAATTTCAAGTTAAATGTTAAATAATATATTAATTACAATAACTAACGTTTTAGTATACTTAGTATACTGCAAGAAATCTTACTAATACATAGTACGAACTTTTTTAATGACTGCAATAGTTAAAAAACATTTTACAAATTGTTTAGTGTTGATCAGATCATTTCAAAGTGTCAAAAGATAAAAAATAACAAAGATGATAGAATCTTAATCTTCCTAATTTGTTTTTTAAAAGGATCAGGAATGACTGAAGTTAAAGAAGGAAGTGTGATGTTAAAAAAGAAGCTTATTTCAAACTTTGGAGTGTCACCGAAAGTGTATGCTCTTATCTAGAATATATGTGAATTTCTTTCAAATTCCAATGTCAAATTTTAATTCAAATAAAGGATTATGTTTTAAGTCTGAATAAGCCTCTGAATCTGTTTATTATGATTTTAAACAGGTTTGGGAGAAGCAAAGTCTCCAGTAGTCTTAAAAATTATCAGCATAGTCTGCTTAAAGTCACGTACAACTTCTGACATTTAAGCTTTAGATATAAATAAAAACAGTTTTACTTTGAAGTTAAATATATTATAATATGAATGTATATTTTAGGAGACTGTTATTGATTGTAAATGTGAATAAATATATATGTAAACATTTATTTGTGTCATTTAAACCATTCTCTTGCTGAGAAACAATTGAATAATAACATGTCCTTTTTTTTTTGAAAAATGAATATCAACAGAATATTTTCAAAAATTAGATTAAATTGTGTAATATTGTAGTTTTAAAAATGCAAACTGTTTCTGGTGGACGTTTTTTTTGTAATAAATTATTTGCATTATAGCGTTTCAAATAAAAAAACTTAGTCACGTGTAAAGAAAGCACATGGTCAATTAACTTGGAAAACTGTCGCTCACACTTACTTGAGATATAAGCTATGACATAGCAACTCAGTAGACATCCCGTAAAATTTCAGCTCAATTGCTTTTATTCAGTTTAAGTTTTAAAAACTCACTGTTGGTTGGAAGAGTTGTTTTTAAACATTGACTGAAATTCTGGAATTAATTTTAGAGATGCTTAAAACTCTATATCAATTATATCAAATTGAATTTGTTTTTAAATTCTCTTTAGTTTCCTGTCACACAGCATAAATAAGTTTGGTCTTCACTTTGCAACTGGAGTAAGATTCTCCTTGTTTTTTTATTATTGTCAGCAACATGAATTACAAAAGTATTGCACAATATTGCTTTTTTGGTTTTATTTTTGTTTTACTTGTCCAGCTTGTTAACTATGTGGTCGTGGTGTAGTGGTAGAGTGCTCGCTTCTTAAGCGAGAGGTTCCAAGTTCAATACCTACCACGTTGCTGGTAGTACCAGGCTCAAATTGTTTCTCCGTGCAGAGTTCCTTGTTCGCCATGTTTCCTGTTTCAGAGTTAAAGAGTTGAGAAAGAATTATAACCACAATTAAGTAGCCTCCTACTACAGACGTGTAGTGGCCTTCTTGGCCTTGGGAAGGTAAATTAACATTTAAAAAAAAAAAAGAACTTTATAGAACAAAATTAAAGACAAATTTTATTTTTATTAACTTGTTTTTATTGATCCTGTTTTTATTAATCCTGACATAAGTATTGACATAAGGCAAGACTTATGTCAGGATTTAGGTTTTTTTCACTTATAACTAACTTGTTAGTTAAGAAATAATTTATCTGAACTTATTTTATTACATAAAATCTACAATCATGATATTACATAAAATCTACAATCATGGTATTACATAAAATCTACTATCATGATATTACATAAAATCTACTATTATGATATTACATAAAATGGTAATTAGTTTCTACAAAACAGCTATTGACATACTAAACTTGTTGGTTAATAAATAATGTGTTTGTTTTAATAATATTTGTTTAAAAAGTTATAATTTGGTCAGAGACTGTAATTTTGCCAAATGTTGTCACTGTTCTATTACTGATAAAAAAGTAATATTAGTAGCTATATAACACATATAGACAACTATATAACACATATAGACAACTATATAACACATATAGACAACTATATAACACATATAGACAACTATATAACACATATAGACAACTGTATAACACATATAGACAACTATATAACACATATAGACAACTGTATAACACATATAGACAACTATATAACACATAGACAACTATATAACACATATAGACAACTATATAACACATATAGACAACTATATAACACATATAGACAACTATATAACACATATAGACAACTATATAACACATATAGACAACTATATAACACATATAGACAACTATATAACACATATAGGCAACTATATAACACATATAGACAACTATATAACACATATAGACTACTATATAACACATATAGACAACTATATAACACATATAGACAACTATATAACACATATAGACAACTATATAACACATATAGACAACTATATAACACATATAGACAACTATATAACACATATAGACAACTATATAACACATATAGACAACTATATAACACATATAGACAACTATATAACACATATAGACAACTATATAACACATATAGGCAACTATATAACACATATAGACAACTATATAACACATATAGACTACTATATAACACATATAGACAACTATATAACACATATAGACAACTATATAACACATATAGACAACTATATAACACATATAGACAACTATATAACACATATAGACAACTATATAACACATATAGACTACTATATAACACATATAGACTACTATATAACACATATAGACAACTATATAACACATATAGACAACTATATAACACATATAGACAACTATATAACACATATAGACAACATATGTATTAATGTATAATAAGTATAAGCAGTATTATTTTTTAGGTCGGTTGTTTTAACTTATCTGAGGCTGGATCTGGTAGCGATGCATTTGCAATGAAAGCAACAGCAAAGCAAGTTGGAGATGATTACATTATAAATGCAAACAAACTGTGGATCTCAAATGCAGAGCATGCTGGTTTATTTTTAGTTTTTGCTAATGCTAAACCAGACCTATTAAATACAAATCCAAGCAAAGTAAGCTAATTATACTTTTACTCTTCTCAATTTAAAGTTAAGTTAAAAGTAAGTTTTAAAAATGTTAACTTAATAAATTTTAATAATTGTGATAGCATTTAATGTAATTAAAAATTGTCAGCAAAAATAAATTTACAACTAAATCTATTTACACTATAACAAATGTGAGTATTCATTAATGGCAGCACCGTTTACCGGAATACTGGTATTACCAGACTTTTTTCTGGTACCAAATATACAGTATTTGATTTGATCTAGAGTATCTTAGTATTGAATATATATAAGAAAATATTTAAAACTTTTTTCCAATTTCCCTAATAATTTAGTCTAATAATTTCCCTAATAATTTAGTCTAATAATTTTTTAATTGATAAAATCAAATGAATATTAAATCAGACTTTTCATAATTAACAAATGATGGACTGTAACTAGTGTATAAAAAGATAAACATCTCATTTATGTTCTCTTACTCATGCAAAAATTTCATGCCTGCATATTTTTTTGCTGCAACTTACCAACATTATTATATTAATTTAAAAATCAGAAATATCCCAAAATGTATACAAAAAGTGTAAGTGCAAGTTCAGTACTAGAGTGCAACAAAAATTTAGTGAGTTTTTATTTTCTGCGTGATTAAATTTTCCAGAACCATCTTGCTGTTACTTGCTTTATTTCTTAGACTGACTGCCCTTAATGAGGTACCCTTTAGTTTATTTGCCAGCTTAAATAAGAATATTGCTACAAGACTTCGCAAAATGTAATAGACAAGCATGGAAATATAATAAGAGACGTTCATATTCAATTTCACTTGTCTAATTGCAAAGGTTTCGATTTAGTTTGACATTTAATGTGTCGAGGTTGTTTAAAAATTGCAAATATTTAAATGTTAATGTTCACATTGAAGATAAATTTTGCCGTCTTGGATTAGCTTAAGTTGTTGGTTCACTGCTTGCTGAAAAATGAATTAAGTTAGAAAAGTATATGTACAATTTATGCTAAATTATGATGAAGACATGTGCTTTATTTATGATGGAGCTACCATAATGCAAAGAGTAAGATGTTTAAGCAATTGTAATTGACATTTTTGGATTGTGTATGATATTTTTCTACAAAAATATTTACAAAAAATTGTCACCATTTTTAAAAAAAAGCAATCTTTCAGAATTTCTATTGGCAATAGTGGGAATAGTAGTGAAAGTGACAATAAAGATGATATTGACGATGATGCAAAGGTAACCAATAATTATGCAAAAGACTTTTCCAGTGGATTTTAAGTTGTGATAAAAAAGATGATACTATTGACCTGACTAAAATTTTGCAGCCTTTAATTGCTATGGTGTGTACCGTGAAATTGTTTTGCTGTTTTCAGACAAAAAAATGATGAAACACTTCTAAAATACACGAGACAAATTTGGCAAAGCCCTTTTACTAATACTTGGCTCAACAGACAATTTTTTTCTAGCTTGCTGCACTATTTATACAAAGGGCATCAATGATACAAGAATTTAGATCTAGCAATGTCACTTTAGCAAATTAGCCATTGTACATATCATATTTTGATTGAATAAGTTGCTCAATCAGCAAGCGATGAAGCAATTGAATCAGAGAGTGGATTTTAGTCAAGTAACAACAGCGTCATCAAATTCCAATCATTTCTTAAGGATGACATTCTCAATGCTTTTTGTTTCTCACTGGCTAATTTTACATAGGAGATAAAAAGTGCAAAATGAAAGTCTGTAATTTCGATATAAAATAGAAAAGTGTATTGAAAAAGTTTGTATAGGTTTAATAGTATAGTTAGTCAATTCCCAAGTCAATCTAGGTGTATGGTCTGCATGATCACTCTACTGCTGGCAACATGTAATCCAGTGCTGTGGGATTTGCTTTTAAAGCAAAGGCTAGAAGGAGTTTGCTTCCTGTCATCAGTACTATTCAATATTGGCCATGCCTATATATATATATATATATATATATATATATATATATATATATATATATATATATATATATATATATATATATATATATATATATATTTAATTTTTTTTTGTATGTGTTTTAGTTGGAGGCGCCTAAGTTACTGTTTTAGCTCACCTGTGATCTATTTTATATGTATGTTTTTGTTTTGTCTAAACCTCTGGCGCGGTGTTGACTCACCTGTAAGTTGCTATCTGTATGTTTGTGTTCTGTCTTAATCTCTGGCAGGATTTTCACTCACCCGTAAGTTGCTTTATGTATGTTTGAACCTCTGGCGCGGTATTTATTCACCTGTAAGTTGCTTTATATATTTTGTTTGATGTGTGTTTGTTGTGTGTTTGTGTTCTGTCTAAACCTCTGGTGCAGTGTTTACTTACTCGTAAGTAACTTGTATGTTTGTGTTCTGTCTGAACCGCTGACACGGTATTTACTTACCTGTAAATTACTTTATATTTATGTTCTGTTTAAATGTTCAAATTTTTTTTGATGCAGTGTGAGCTCATTAACTAACTAATTACTCCAACTATAAACCTATGCTTACCTTAATCTCTAGTATTTTGTTAGATAAAATATTTTTCCTAATGCATTTCCTAAGTATCATGCCTAATACTTTAAGGTGCTATTTGCATACCCTACTGCCTTGTAGGGTGTGCTTTTTTAGGTAAAGGCTAGAAGAAATAAATTCCGACTTCAACTTTTTGGAACTCTCTCCCATCTTCATGCTTTCCTGACTCATACCATCTTCAACATTTCAAGTCTTCTGTCGATTGTTTCATTGCTCTATAACTCGATTTTTTTTTTGTCGATTGTTTCATTGCTCAATTTTTTTTTTCCTAGTAAATCCCAACTAGTGCTTGTTGGGAGTGAATCGGAATGGGAAAAAAAAAAAAGTTATATAAGTATTATATTGGTATTGAAATTTTTTGGTTTCAAAATATTAGTGTTGAAAATTAATGCCATTATTGGATGCCATTATTGAAACTTTTGAATTCTTGGCAGACAGATTCACTATAAAAATGATCAAAAATTTTTATAAAAAAAGTTTTTACTTTTATTATTTTTGTTTTAATTGAGTTATAAAAATTTAATTTTAATTTTTTTTCTAATATTTTAGTGTGAAATGCCAAAATTTATTTTTAAAAAATTAAGTAATTTTAATTTAATACTTTATTTTGAATTCAAGTAAAAAGTTTATTAAAAATCTATTAAAATTTGTAGAAAATTTCTTTTCTACAAATTTTAATAGATCATATTTAAATAAAAAAGTTTTGTTTTATAATTATATAAATATTGAGTTTGTAAAATAAGTATGGAAACAAGTTTATAATTTTTTTAGGCATATAAAGGAATTACTTGCTTTTTGGTACCTAAAGACACTAAGGGTTTAGTTGTTGGTAAAAAGGAAGACAAAGTAATTATTTCATTATTAAAATAAAAATATTTATATAAAATAGCGTTTTTTTGCATAAGTTTTTTTGCATACTTTATTAAAATTAAAATTTTCAGTTATTTATTCTGATAGCTTCATCCAATTGACTTTTATACTTATATTTATCAGATATTGATATTGTTTTGTTTTTAATATGCATTAAAAAAAATTTTATTTTTAATTTGCATTAACTTTTATGTTTTAATGTTCAAGCATTAAGTGTTAAGATTATTAAGAAAAATAAATTTAAATAGATAAAAAAAACTCAAGTATACACAAGTTTTATCTAAAAAAAATACTTATGTATTTGAGTATTTTTTTTTTCTCCAGCTTGGTATAAGAGCTTCTAGCACATGTCCAGTTGATTATACAGATGTTAGGGTAAGTTTCATATAGATTATAACAAATTAAATGATTGAAATGGAGCTTATATTAATAAATTTCTTTAGGTTCCTAAAAGTAGCATTCTAGGTGAGCTTGGGTTGGGTTACAAATACGCTATTGAATGCTTAAATATTGGTAGAATTGGCATTGGAGCTCAGGTAAAAATTTTTATTGAAATTCTTTTTTTTTTGTGTGTTCATATTAAAGAAAATGTAAAAACATTAAAAAATTGATTTAAAACTAAACAATAAAATGTATATAGGAAAGGAAGATTAATATTGAATATATCAATATTAATCAGAAGATTAATATTGAATATCGTTTTGTAAAAACATCAGTTTAAATAAAAATTTATGTAACAACAGTGATTTTATAACTTTTTTTTTTTGAGAACTAGATAAGGCATCCATATTTTTCTTCAGAATGAAAAAACTGCAATTTCACTATTTAATTCAATTTAAGTTTTCACCTATTAATTACTATTTTTAATTATAAAACATTTTAATATGCTAAATATACTATTTGCATCAGCATAATACATTACATCAGCAACCAATGGTAGGAAAAGAAGGGAAGCAGAATTTGATTTGAAGGTTATATGAACAAAGTTAGGTTGATAGCTCATTTAAAACTATTACTCTTTTCTCATTTTTCTTTCAAATTTAATATTATAAAAATGAAGCACACAGCACACTCAATTATTCATCTAAATTTAACACACAATACCCATTTATACAACGTTATATTCTGATCTAGAGTTTAAGGCTAATAAGATTATTTAGTTATCAAAAAAATTTCAGCTTTACAGGTGCAAAGTTTCTGAAGCTCAGATCTGCCTTAGATTCCTCCTAGATGTGATCCAACAGTTGTGCCAAATATTACCGAACAAAATAATAAATTTTTACAACAATTTATTCTTGGTTTGGGTAAATTAAAAGAGTTGAAACTTAATATACCAAGTGTGTGCTTTTAATTATTAGTATTATTAGTTTGTTATAATAATTATAATACAATAAATATTTATGCATCATAATCTTTTTTAAACTTTCTCCTTACATTCCACTTTTTTGTTTTCCTAATGCTAAACCATGCCTATTGTGTAAAGAATTTTTTTTGAAACTTCAGAAACTAGCTTTACAGCATGCTCAACAGACTGACTGTGTAATGGAAAGTCCTACCCAAGCGAACTAGGATCTGGTTTGCATTCAATTATGTTACAAAGTTCCTGACAAGATAAGCTTGTAGTACCAGTAGGCTCTTAGATTACTTTATAATCAGAAGTCAGCTCTTTCCATGTATCACACTTGATATTCAAATTTTCTTTGTTTGGAATTTTGTTAACTCTAATGCCATCATAGATTTTATCAACTAAGGAAGATTGTTTTAATATTTTTATATATCATCCTAACTAGTTTGTTCATCTTTCAAATCATCTACAAAAAAGGATAAAAGAAAGTTTTCTGGGAGAAGACAATAAATATTTCTTAAAACAACAGGTAGTATAATGTCTTACATAGATTGGTTAAAAGTTTTTATTCTTTTCAATGTTGTGTGTAAAATTATTGGCCCTTTGCTTGATTTTTTAGATTTCTTAATTTCGAACCACGTAGGAACATACTCTGTCTGTATGTACTTTACAATTTCTTTAAAAGTCAGTTATTCTTGAGTACAAAACTAAAATTCGTATCCCTTATGTCAGCCATCTGGCATGGTTAAGCGGACCAACTTTATAATTACCATACATAAGATTTATAGCACCTAAATTTACATAGATATTTTTTTCTTTTGACAATAAATCAAAATTAGAATAATAAATAAGAGTAAGTATATGAATTTAAACTGCAAGTTAATTTTTATGTTTATTTATTTCAATTGTACTTACCTGAACTTATACCACACACATATTCGAGCTTTTGATAAGAACTTGTTGATTTGGAACAACTAAACAAGTCAAAACAGGTTCAAATTTGGCAATTGGTTTGTTATGATGATCTTGTGCAGCAGCTTTTCCTATTTCACCATAAAATGTTTTTGGAGTGTTTGCACTGCCATGGAAGTGTTCTATAATATGGCGCATAAGTAACTTGTTGCTGTGATGTGCACAACCAATTTTATGAATTGTTCTGCCAAGTTTTCGTTCAAAACTGGCACAAAGTCTACTTTTGTAGCCAGTGTTGACATTTGTATTATCCAAAACAATTCCTAACAAAGACTCAACACTGCTGTAATGTGTTCACACTTCATAAGCAGACAGTGCTAAACTGTCTCCTGTACCATTTAAAATGTCTCTGTGTGTAAGATATTTTTTTTCATTACTCCTTATTCTGCTGTAAAACTTAGATGATGAATCTTTTCAATTGATTTTTTTTTTTGCTTTGGTTATCAGATGATATACTGCGATAAACTAAACTACCTTTATCATCTTTGCTATTGCAGCCAATTTGCGTTAAATTTGTACGCAATGCGCATGCCATTTTACTTTCCAGCTGAAGTCTTTAAAATATACAGGTAATCTACAGATAGAACAATTTCTTTTGTTTTTTACTTAATGCTAAAAAATATTTGTGAAAAAATTAAAAATAAAATAGCATTTTGGTTTTTAGATTTATTAGTATAATTTTTTTTTGACAATTGTCAGGATAATTTTTAAATATGTATAGCTTTCATATATTTTTATGGCTCCTAAATAAATAATTACTTAGTTTACATATATTCCAAATGTTTATTATTTTTTTTTAGACAATTTAAAACTTTTTTCTACTTTATCTAGGCCATTTATCGTTACAACTTTTGTTTCTCCTATCCAAATAATAATTAGTTTCAATAATAACACTTTTTTTATTTATTTTTTTTTTTTTATTTATTTTTTTTTTATATTTTTTATTTTATTTTTTTTTTATGACATTTTTATTTATTTTTATTTTTATTATTAGGGGTAACAAAACTTTCAGTAAAAAAAAAACTTTTATGAGCAAAACAACAAAAAAAGTAAGGAAGGGTAATTGCAAATTCAATAAATATTAATTGCTCGAAGATTGTGCTAACTTTTTGTCACCAGGGGTTAAAAGGGATCACATGCAGCAATCTTTTTTTTTTTCTTCATTATTTTTCATTTTTTCTTCAAAATAAAGTAACCAAAAAAAAATTGTCAATTGATTGTAGCATTTGTTAGAAAAGAAAAGTAATTTCTGAAATGAATTTTCTTTAATATCTTTTTTATAGACTATAAAAATGTTTAATCAATTTACATTTGTGTAAATTCAGAGATTTATTATTTGATTTATAGTTAAGTAATTGTAAAATCACTCTTAGCTATGTTCTTATCACTCTTAGCTATGTTCTTATCACTCTTAACTATGTTCCTTAAATATTGAAGACCAAAATTATTCTTATTACTTAGATGATTGGATTGGCACAAGGAGCAATGGATATAGCAGTTCCTTATACAAAAGAGAGACAACAATTCAACAAAAAAATATTTGATTTTCAAGTAAACTTTTTTAATACTTATTATTTATTGTTATTATTACCATATTGGTATTATTATTTAAATTTAAAAAAATGTTTAAATTTTTTTTTCAAGTTTTATGTAGATAATTTCTTTAGGGCTTGCAACACTAAATATCTGATGTTGCTACAAAACTAAATAATTTCTTTAGGGCTTGCAACACCAAATATCTGATGTTGCTACAAAACTAGAGGCTGCAAGACTACTTGTATACAATGCTGCGCGTTTAAAAGAAGCAAATAAAGACTTTGTTATGCAAGCAGCTATGGCTAAATACTATTCTTCTGAGGTATAAACGATAATATTTTATTCAAGGTTTTTTTTTTAAATAAATTTCAACAAACATTAAGAAAAACAAAGAAAAGTGCTGGCACAAGAAATTTTGCGTCAATTGAAAACCTTCAAGTTACTAGTTCTAAATGTTTTTAAAAAATATGCTCTAAATGTTTCTAAACATTTTTAGAGAATATGCATAGTTGTAAATAAGTTACCAGTATGCTGGCACCACAGGTCCTACCCTATAATTAAATGTTGAATATTACATAATATAATAAAATTCAATTTATGTTTATCAGTGTCAGCTTGAAGAAGTAGAGTAGGCCACTACAGCCTCCTCGACTGTAGTGGCCTTTTTGGCCTTGAATTAACAAGACCAAAATAGAGGTGAATTAACATTAAAAAAATACAAAAATTAATATATACTACACAACCTATACTACACAACTTAATATATACTACACAACTTAATATATGCTACACACCATAATATATACTACAAAACCTAATATATACTACACAACTTAATATAAACTACACAACTTAATATATACTGCACAACACAGTTACTAACTGTAATATATTTATTATCCTTGTAAAAATTATTTTACATATATCAAGGTTGCGACTTTAGCTACAAGTAAATGCATTGAATGGATGGGTGGTGTTGGGTTTTCTAAAGAGTATCCAATAGAAAAGTTTTATAGAGACTGTAAAATAGGTCAGTGTTTTATATTATTACATTTCTTATATATATTTTAATGTAGTGGATTTCTATTTATTATTAATATGATTAGTTTGATGGGGTTTTTAAGTAGTGGATTTATTTATATATATATTTATTATTAGTATAATTAGTTTGATGGTTTTTATACATTTCATAATTCAACACATTAATATATTGTTGTTGTGTTTTTTTTTAATAAATCTTTAAATTCAACACAAAATGAATTTTGTTAATACATAAATAATTGAACAGTTATAAAATTTAATGAATTTTTTATTTTTATTTAGGTTGCATATACGAAGGAACTAGCAATATTCAGCTTAACACTATTGCTAAACTGTTACCATATTAAGTACTATAGTTAACATGGAAGCTTTTATATAATATAAATATTGTTATCTGTTAAATTATTTATTATTAATAGTAAAAGTATTGAATAAACTTGTCTTGTTTGTCAAACAAATTCAAAATGTTTTGATAATGTTTTTATTGTTGGTAAATAAAGTATATTGTTAGTTTTGTAGTTGTTTTTTTTTAATTGTTTATATTGTAATATTTTTTATTGTAAAGAACTTTTATTAGTTTTTTTGTTTATTTTTTTTAAAACAATATTAATAAAGAGGTTCTGTAAACTTCACAAATAGCTAAATAATTAACAGTTCTGGAAACTAAATAAATAGTAGTTATGGAAACTAAATATGTACTAATTTTGAAAACGAAACAATAAGCTATACAAAAAGTAGTTTTTTAGTACAGTAATAAGCATTAGTTTTAGTACACAAAATATGTTATAAATTTATTATAGAATATTTCATTCTACAATATTTTTATTTTTATAAGAAAAAAAAATTTTTTTTATTAATTTTGTTGGTTTATATTTTTATTATTATTTTTATTATTTCTGAAAAACATTCTATTGCTTTTTAGTGATATTTTTATCAATTATTTTTATTTAAAACTATTCAACTAATATCAAATATTATTTTTTGATTGCTTCAGTTGTTGGGTTGTGATATTTGATAAGCAGTTTAAAGTTAGTGTTTTTTTTTTGTTTTGTTTTTTTTTAATTATCTTCGCTTCCAACAAGGTTGCAAGCAACCACTAATTAGTGTTGGAAGTTACTGGAAGAGAAAAGATGAAGATTGTAGAGCAAGATAACGATTGACAGACGACTTAAAATATTGCAAATTATATGAATCAGGAAAGCAAGATGAAGGAAGCGAATTCCAAAGAACTGATGTTCGAGGAAAAAAACTAGATGAATAAGAGTTTTTGGAGCACTTAGGAACAGTAACAGAAAAAGGATAAGACTTAATTGAATGACAAGTAACACGAGAATGAATTTTAGTAGATGCCACTAGAGACGCTAGCTCTTTAGAGCAGTGCCCATTATAGTATTTGTAGAAAAGAGAAAGAGAAGCAACATTACGACGATGTGACAGAGGTTGAAGGTTAGCTGCAAGAGCAGGTCTAACTATGTTTACAATGCGTTTTTGCACCTTGTCTAAAAGAGAAAGGGCATCATTAGAAGATCCGCCCCAAATATGGCAACAGTATTCCATACAAGGCCGGATTTGAGATTTATAGAGATAGAGAATAGAATCCAGAGTAAGAAAGTGATGAGCTCGATAAAGAGAAGCAACTTTAGCAGATGCTAATTTTGCAACGGATTTGATATAAGGTTTCCAGGAAAAAACAGAAGTAAGAGTTAATCCTAAAAGATGAAGGGTAGGAGACTCATCGAGTACATTACCGTTCATAAATATAGGAAGGCCTAAATTATTGCGATAACAATTGGCTGAAAAAAATTGAGTTTTATCTGAATTAAAGTTCACCAGCCACTGCGAGCCCTATGCTGTAGCAGAAGTGAGATCCTTTTCAAGCTCAGATGCCCCCTGCAAGCAATCAGAGGGAGTTGGCTTCTTATCGTGACAAGATTAAATGGTAGTATCATCAGCGAACAATGCCACCTTAGATGTGAGAATATCTGGAAGATCGTTAATGTAAATTAAAAAGAGTATAGGGCCAAGGATTGAACCTTGGGGAACCCCTGAGGTTACAGAATAAGAAGTAGTGTGCTGTCCATCAAGGACAACTTTTATACTACGATTGGAAAGGAAGGATTCAATAATCTTAAAGATGTTTCCAGATGCACCATAAGAAGAAAGCTTATGGAGGAGACCAGCATGCCAAACTTTATCAAACGCTTTAGAAATGTCAAGAGCAATGGCCTTAACCTCTCCATTTTTATCTAATGCGCGATAAAACCTATCGGTTATTACTGATAGCAAATCAGCCGTAGAACGAGAAAATCGAAATCCATACTGATGATCAGAAAGTAGGTTATGAGATTCGAGATGAGAGATTAAGTGTTTGTTAATTAAAGATTCAAAAACCTTGCTTATGATAGGAAGAAGACTAATGGGACGGTAGTTAGATGAATCAGATCGCTCTCCAGAATTTTTAAAAATAGGGATAACAGATGCTACTTTCCAGCAGGCTGGAAAACAAGACTCTCATAAGCACTTGTTAAATAGTTTTGAAAGGATAGACAACAGCTCAGGAGAACACTTCTGCAAGACTATAACAGGTATGTTGTCCGGGCCGCAAGCTGTAGAAGAGTCTAAGCAGGAAATCACTTTAGATACAGAAGCTGGAGTGATACGAATGTCGAGCAATGGATCAACCTGTTTGACGGCTATATCAGGTAAAACGCAACTAGTGGCATCAAGAGATGATATTGATGAAAAGTTCTTGGCAAACAATTCAGCTTTGTCTTTAGGTGAGGTGACAAAGTCTGAACCGTACAAAAGAGGTGGAATTACAGACTTGCCCTTATTATTGATACTATTAAAGATTCTCCAGAAGTCACGAGAGCCTAATTTTTGTGATGAAATACAAGATTTCATGATCTGAGAATAGCGGTTTTTGGCGTTAGACAAAACCTTTTTACAATGGTTCCTAGCAGTAATAAAGACACGTCTGTTTTCTGGAGAATTGTTTTGTTGATAGATATGGAAGTAATGGTTTCGATTGGCAATTGCAGCAGCACAATGTGAGGAAAACCATGGAGAAGAGTGAGGCTTGACCTGGAATCGTTGAGAGGGAATAAAGGATTCCATGTCAGCCTGAATCCACGAAGTTATGTAAGAAGCACATTTGTCAACAGGGAGACGAAAGATTTCTACCCAGGGGCCATCACGAAGAAAGTCACGAAAGACTCCCAGTCAGCTTTAAGGTAGTTGTAAGATGTACGATGATAGGGGGATTCTAATGGTAAAGAAGAATGAGATAATAGTTTTAGAGAGACCAAACCATGATCAGACGCACCTAAGGGTGAGTGTGAAGAAACTGAACACTGACTAGGATCAGAAACAAGACATAAGTCGAGTAGAGAAGATAAATGATTCGGGTTGTCTGGAAAGCGAGTTGGAAAGTTGACTATTTGAGTTAGGGATTGAGAAAGACAAATGTTGTAGGCCTTAATGCCTGCAGAGTCACTGACACTAGAGCCAAGCCATTCAGTGTGATGAACATTAAAGTCACCGACAACAACAATATTGGCTGATGGATAAAGAATGAGGGCTTGGTCAATATAATCAGAAATAACATCAAGAAGAGTGCAGTCTTGGGATGAGGGAGAGCGATATAGAACAAAGAGAAAGGTGATAGAGTGAAGTGGTGCTAAACGAAAGCACATAAAAGAGTAGTCTGTGGATTCAAACCTAGTTTCCCGACAAATGGGTGAATTCTTACGAATGTAAATGCCCAGGCCAAGCATGTGACTATTGGAGTCTATACGAATTAAAGGAAGATAACCATCAACACTAAGATCACAAGATGAGACAGCTGAACTCAAATTAGTCTCACAAAGAGCAAGCAGGTCTGGTGAACTATGCAAGAGATAAGACTCAACAGAAGAAAAGTTACTTCGAAGACCACAAATATTGGTGAATGATAGGTTTAGCGAGCTTGGTGATGACTGTGGTTTTTTGTGTTTTATAGTTTTTGTTACTTTATTCATTTTTAAATTTGTTAAAGAACTTGACTCGAAACATTGATAGTACTCAGTACACTGTTCTATAGCTCAAGCAATTGCCTCATTTCCACTAATAAACCCTAAGCCGTAACAAAGGGCTCCAATGTGGCCTTGGCAATGCACACCAAAAGTACAAACAGGGACACCATCCATGTGCAACATGGCACTGTTAGTACTCTGATATTTTTCAGCTGTTGATGGAATCAGCCTCTCTGAGAGCTACCACAGAGTTCGGGAAACCTGACTACCAGCCGGCCTCAGAACCATTAAACTGAGTTTTAGAGCTGTACCCTCATTTGGAGATAATAGAATGAGTTGCCTAGTCATAAAAACAGAGACACAAGCAAAACCCATGAATCGACTCAAGAGGATCCAGCGTTCAACATCCTAAACTGGAAACAATGTATTAAAAATACATCTGCGCCAGCCTAATAGATGATGAAGGGGTGCAAGGCTGGTCAACAGATAGAATCTGTTTACCCCTTAAGTCTTTGCCTAGGAGGCTTTCTACAAGACAGCAGCCGGATGCATGTAACATCTGCCCAAGATGAGTATTTTTATCGAGACACTATCTCTAGCCTTTACTCAACCAAGAGCCCCAAGGCAGGGGGTGTTTTATGTCGGAGTTTGCATCTCCTAGCCTTTGCCTAAAAAGACATATCCTACAAGGCAGCAGGACATGAAGCAGATTGTACTGGGTTACATGTTACCAGTAGCAGGATAAACCTGACCTGACTGATATGTTTAAATTGTGTTTAAATTAAAAAACAAAGTTAATAAAAAAATATATTTATATATTTTTTTTTATTTATTTTTTTATTAATAAAAAATATATATATAAAGTTTGCATGCATAATATACTTTTCAAGGGTTGTTTTTAGGGTTTTTCTTATTAGAAAATTTTTTTAGTAAATTTAAAAAAACTAGTAATGACATTGAAAAATTTTTTACTTTTATTAAAATGGTTTTATAATATTTAAATTTTAGATTTTCTAAAACTTTCGATTTTAAATTTATATAAATTCTCATAGATACCATAAAATTGTTTAAAAAAAAATTTCATGGAAACTGTATTTGAAATATTACAATCAAAATTAAGCAGTTATAATTAAAAAAATATTGTTAAATTAGGAGGTCATAAGTAAGAAAATATTTTTGTCATTTAATAAGTTTTATTCAAATTTTGGTTTAGATATAGAGTAAAAATTCTCATGAAGTTTTTAATGTTATGGTATTTTTTGAAAAAGATCAGGGAGTTGTAAGAGAAGATGGCGAATTTTATTTGCTCTATGAGCCAAAGGATATACTTGGAGAGTAGGATTATTCATAAAATGTTTTTATGATTGAATTATTCATATTGGATTATTTTACTTTTTATCCAACTATTTGCCTTCTACATTAGTAAAATTACTTTCTTTATAAATATATTTACTTTCTCATAAGTAAATTTGCTTTCTGATAAGTTGCTTTCATTAATTCTATTTGTGGCATTTTTTAATGACATCCATTTTTATTTCAGTGGTATATCCAGTGTGGTGCGGCGATGCATCCACAAAGAAACAGGTGAAGAATATGCTGTGAAAGTGATTGACAAATTTTGTAAGCGATGTGAAAGCGTCAAGGGTATTGATGTTGTAAGACAGTTCCATACTGAAGTCAGTATTTTAAATAGGCTGAAAGGCCATCCTTACATAAGTATGTGTTGTTGTTTTTGTTTTGTTTTGTTTTATTTTTTGACTTGAATATGTTATTGAAATTAATTTTAGTCAATCAATTAAATTGCTAGACCAATTATATTCTAGTTTCATTAAAAGATTCATTTGAAAGCAGTGCATTTATGTATTTGGTACTAGAGTTGTAAGTAGTTTAAATTTTATATATATATATAAATATATATAAAATTAATATTTTTATCACAAAACAAATTCTTCAAAAGTGTATTATGTTGGCTCTCAAATGAAGAGAAATCATATAAGAATTTAAAAAATAATAATTATACTAGTTGTCATAACCTGTAAAATATGGGTCTTGGTAAATCTATTCCGCACCGACCTTTTCTATACTTGTTCCTTATTTCAAAATATTTTAGTAAGAGGTAGAAAAAAAATTAAATACATTTATAATAACAATACTTATTGTTTACTTTTTAAAGCTATTAGATAAATTTTTTATTATATTTAACTTTAAAAAACTTTTAACGTTTCGGTAGATGTTGCGCGAATCGCTATTTATCAACAAATCGGATATCAGTACCGGCCTAATATATAATATTTAGAACACCCGCTTGGAATGTGTTAATTAAATATCATTGGTATAAAATGTTTCAAAAAACATGAGATGACTTAAATATGTGGAATAACTGACTTACAATGACCCATATAATTATTACTGAATATAAATATATTACTGGTCATGGTAAGTCTATTCCATACCTACCATTTAATTAATTTTGTTTTATTCCAATAATTTTTGAAAAAGACCAAAATGTAAAAATCTTTGTTTTTAGTTAACGATTAACTTTCAATACTTTACAACTTCTGTAAACTTTTATATATATATATATATATATATATATATATATATATATATATATATATATATATATATATATATATATATATATATATATATATATATATATATATATATATATATATATATATATAATATTTTCAAAAAAAAAGTTTTTCAAAATTATGTCAACCTGATACTTAAATGAACCGAAATTATATAAAAATTTCAAAAATAATGTTTATTTCGGAAAAAACGATACGTAACGATATTTCCCTTAAAATATACAATATTTGCCAAAACAAAAAACAATTTTCTGTAAAAAAATCGCTGATTTCGTTAAAAAAAAAAAGTATCGTTTAAGTACGTATCATTTTTTTCGAAATGAACATTATTTTTGAAATTTTTATATAATTTCGGTTCATTTGAGTACCAGGTTGACATAATTTTTAAAAACTTTTTTTTTGAAAATATTAGGGACCCATTAAATATTCTAGGGTCTTGAGGGACCCTTTAAATTATTTTTTATTGAAAAAAAATTTAAACTTAGTGTTTTTGTATTTGATAGAACACATTTAGGGGGTGAGAGCAGATTATTTTAAAAAAAGTTGTTTTTTGGGACACCCTAATATATATATATATATATCAGTGACGTATCCAGGAATAATTTGGGCATACCGGTCTAAAAATCCTTTCTATGTTAGAGGACCTTTTAGACAAATAGTTGTATTTAAACTCAAGTTTAAATACAACTATTCGTATATAATATATAATGATTTATCGCTAATCGCTACTTTTCATTTACTTGCTCCATACACTTATTATTTATAAATTAATACTAATTATTAAATTAAATATTAAATATTATTAACTACAAATAAAAAGGGTATGATTTCATAAACAAACAATAACTATAACGTTTAATAAACAATATTTGTATGACTCTTTGATATAAACTTCATAAGATTTATTACATAGCGTATTTAAAACAAGGTAAATTCATTCGAAATTTTAATTCATTCAAAAATTCATAACTTTTTTTTCCAGTTCTACTCTTACTATTCAAATAAAGTTTTTTGGTGCGAATATTAAAATGTTATTTTAATTATTTAAATAAATGTTATTTTAATTTTATGTTTTAAAAACTTTCATTAGTTTTATTATTTAAAGTATTTTACAAACAATTTTTACTGTTGTTTGAAATGAAAAAGTTTAAAACTCATCTAGTTTAATCGCTTTGAAAATTATGTTATGAAAATGTAAGTGGAGGAGAAACTCATATTAATGTATTTTAAAAATGTTATTTAAAAATGCTAAGCAACATATTTTAATCCAATCAAAACGTGCGTTTTACATTTAATCCAATTACAACATATTCTATATTTCATCAACGTGAATTCGAATTAAGCATTTTGGTTGGCTTAAAATAGAAACGGGGACAGACCTTATTATTTTTTTCTAGAAGTTTCAGAAAAAGATCCCTGTTATTAGGACTCTTACTCTGTTAATTTTAAAGAAAAATAAAGTTTCCATGTAAAATCTTTTTTCTATAAAAAAAAAAGTTATCTTTTTAATGCGCACACTTAATCTATTACTAAGCACATTAAAACCTTAAACTCTATCATGACATACGTGCGCAACAAACTTCGAACGGTGTTTTCGTGTTTTTAGAAATCTTAATAAGCATTCTAAAAAATTTTCTTCCTTTCGTGTTATAGAATATCTTTATATATGATATGCATATAATCTCTATAGACCTTTAAAATTGCTTAACTTTGATAAAAAAATTAAATGTGAAAACAAAAAAGGTTTAGACCCACGCAAATTACTTCAACCACTTTGGAATGCTACAATATTATCTTTTAACACTGTTTAATAAACTAAAGACTTGTTGAACTTTATAAATGATTATTAAATTGTATTAACTGGAAATCAATTTATACATAATAACAAAATATTAAAAAAGTATGTATTTACAAAAAAAATTTAACAAAATTTGCATTATCAATTGCCAATTGGTAGATAAACCAACTACAAAAATACTAATTATAGATGCAGCGTATTTTTTTTTCCACTACTCTCTCTTCCCATACTTTACTTTCTACAGGATCAACACTATATTAAAAAAAGAGAAGGAGGGCAAAAATTTTTCTCTAAGTTTATGCCCACATCTTATGTGCCTTATGAGATGTGGGCCTTCTATTTGATCTGCAATAAGCTGAAAAAGCATTAAGAAGTCTAAAATAAAAAAATTACGACATGAAAAAAGTAAAAACATTAAAGATTAACACTACAAACCAATTTACCTGTTGCTGATGCCTTTTCTAGAGCATTGGTAAAAATAGTCAAAATCTGTAAGAAAGTACATTTATTGCAAAAACAATCAGCTATTACACAAAATAGCATAAATATAATAGCTATCAGTGCAAACAAGTTTTGCAATTTGATCAGAAAATAAAATTATTCTTACCTTGATTGTGACAACTAATTTCCTTTAAAACTATTAGCTAATGATCAACTTGACAAATTTTAAATAATTAAAATTTACTAATTTAAAACCATTTTTTAACAGTAGACAGAGTAAACATATCATAAAAACCCTTTCATTACTTTGAAATGCATTTAATGCAAGGTTTGCAGTAAATAAGTAAATACAAAACTGATAAAAGAATACCTCTATAAACAATCATATATTTGCTTTGAGTAAAGTAACTTGGAAATATTGAAACTTTTTAAACTATTTTAGTTTTCTTTTTTTATTTTTAATATTCTTAAGAAAAAGGACAATAATTTAATGCATATATATATGTATATATATATATATATATATATATATATATATATATATATATATATATATATATATATATGCAAATCTATATATAAATAAATATATATATATATATAAATAAATAAGTATATATATATAAATATATATGTTAGGCACAGATTGTGAAATCGCGCATTTCACGAGCTGTGCAATTTTTTGCTCATTTTGTGAAATGGATAGCGCTCTTGCACAGATTGTGAAATGTTAAACTTTTATTGTTTTTTTTAAATAAATAATATTTATAATAAATATATGTTTTTTTAATTAATAGACTACCTGCCCAACCCAAACCTTCAGTCGATGTAGCAGCACTCCGTTGCATATCAGGCTATTTGTCAGTCGATGTAGCAGCACTCTGTTGCGATTCAGGCTATAAGATAGTCGATGTAGCAGCACTTAAACTTCGTTTAAGTTGCAAGTTCTTATTAAAGTCAATATTAATGTTTATTAGACATAGTAGAATTAAATGTTAAAAAAAAAACCTGTAAAAATTCAACATTTCACAATCTGCGCAAGAGCGCAGATTGTGAAATGTTGAATTCTTACAGGTTTTTGCTCATCCATTTCATGAAATGGATGAGCAAAAAGTTGGACATTTCGTGAAATGTGCAATTTGACAATCTTTGCATAACATATATAAAGTTTAATAATTTATTATTGCTCTATTCTTTAAGAACATTGAGCTCTCTATTTATAGAATACACAAACATAATTTATATATGCAAAACATTAAAATAAAAATATAAAGAAAACATTCTCTATAAAAAAAATCCTGAAAATTCAATGAAAGTTACTAAAACTTATGCTTTAACATGTTGTATAAAAAATTATGTTAAACATATGTTTCTCCCCATATGTCCATATTAAACATATGTCCCCATCAAAACATTAAATATTTTAATGGGGAGGAGCTATTAGTAAAGCCTGCTTTTTAACAAAATTTATTTATCCTCAAACGCATTAATTGTTAACAAAAAAGAACAGAGCATAGCAACATTTAAACATATTTTTTCAACACATTTTAGGAATAGGAAACCAGTTTTTTAACAAAATTTATCATAAAAAAGCATAAATTATAAACAAAGAAGAACAAAGTATAAATCTTTTAAACAAATTTACTCAAAAAGTAACAGTATAAAAAATATTTAATGAGTATAAATCTGTTTAATAAAATTTACTTAAAATTATAAATATTAAAAAAATTATAGATATTGTAGATATTAAAAAACTATATAACTTTTCAATATTTCTTATAAACACATTCTTTCAACAATACTTTTTCAACACTTTTTATAACTACACTAACTACAAACAGATTTATGTGTTACATCATGACAGTACACCACTCAACTGGCACGAACAACAATCTTGCTCCCAACAAAGCCAAGTCACATTACAGCAAAGTACACCACTTGGCTTGCAAGGTCAACACTCTTGCTGTAAACTAAGCCAAGTCACAACAATTTGAATCCATGCAAACAGCATAATAACCACTTAGAAACTATAAACAAATAACGTTATATCACAAACATAGAAACACTCATATGTAAAAGATATTTACACACTTACAAAATATAAACCATATAACCTTAACACATATAAAAACATAATAATTCACACACAAATAAAAATATAAATTAAGAAAAATATATAAATTAGAAACTTTATAAATCCTATTTATATTCCATTATATAATAAATGGTAAAAAAATCAGTGTAAACGCGCACGAATGGGCAGCAGCAGCATTAAATTAAGTATTAATTATAAGTGATTATAAAAAACTCATTAAAAAAAAAATTGGTAAAAATGCACTTTTTTCTTTTTTAATTAATAAACTTCATTTCTAATGCTGTTAAATTTAATATAGTCATCATTTTTTAAATTGTCTTGTGATTTCACTTCACTTTTTTTTTGATAATTTAGGAACTTGTTATATGTTCATAGGTCTTGAGGGATCCCTAACAATATTTTTTCTTCAAAAGGTTTTCAAAAATAGTGTTTTTTATCATATAGAACGAATTAGGCAGGGGGGGGGACAGCATATATTTTCAAAAATATTGTTTTTTAGAATACCCTTGTGTGTGTGTGTGTGTATATATATATATATATATATATATATATATATATATATATATATATATATATATATATATATATATATATATATATATATATATACACGAATATTTTTAAATGAATTCTACAAAACAGAGTGCTCAATCTTTATAAAAGAATGGAGCAACAATAAATTATTAGAAAATCACATCAAAATTTTTTTTCAGTTTACACTGTGTATTATATATAACAATATAACCTACACAAACATATAACAAAAAATTTTAACAAGCACCACTTGTTAAAATTTTTTGTTATAGGATTTTTTCAAAACAAATAGAAAGTTTTTTTTTTCTTTAATCTTCTTCATATTTATCTTTTTTTAAACAGGTTGACATTAAAAAAAAATTGACATTCAAAAAATATGGACATTAAAGAAATCTAGGCATTAAAAAAATGTGGTTATTAAAAAAATGTGGACTATAAGAAAATGTGGACATTCAAAAAAAAATTTAATATTTTATAGGTGGCAGATTTAATACATTAAATGTTAAGATTTTTATACAGTTTAAAGTAAATTTTTTATATTTAAAAAAGAATTATTTTTAATTTAATTAAAGGATAAAATCCAAACTTTACCTATAAAGAAATAAGACTTGTTTATTGATTTTTTCTTCAAATTATTAATGACTTGGTTTCTTTTCGCAATTATTTATTTAAATCAGAAATTGGAATCAAATCATTCAAATAAATAATTCAAGTTTTCTTTTTAATAAATACTTTTTTTTAAAGTTATGGATATTTTAGAGCACAATATCAAATTATTATATTAATCTTCAAGATGGGCATTTTTATTGATCTGCATTTAATTTTTATGTTTTGTTTTTAAATTAAACTTTATTTGTTGTACAATTTAAACAAAAATACTGCTCATTAAATACTAGAAAAGCTTAACACTATGCAAGATAATACTTTTAAATACAAGAAAAGTTTAACACTATGATGATGATGAAAACAACTTGTCGAATAAAACATTTTATTTAAAAATTTTGAAAACAAGAGTTGCAAGAGTTCAATCTTTAAAGATAAAACACATCAGCATAAAAGTTTAAACACTGTTATGCATATAGCATTGTTAAATGATATGAAGAGAAATAAAGTTAATGGTATAGAGGTTTTGTGTAGTGTGGTAATGATTTCTTACATATTTTATGTGGGGGAAACAAAAAAACATTTAAAACTTTTTATCTAGAGCTAAAGGTGGAGAACTTTTTGATTATTTGACAAAAGAAGTGACTATTTCTGAAAAACTCTCAAGGTATTAAATTATTTATAAATTATATAATCTTTTATTATATACAGTTAAACTATGTTAATGGTAGTATTGTAGTGGTAGAGCGCTTGCTTCATAAACAAGAAGTTTAGACATTGATTCCCACCACTTCCCTGGAAGTACCACGCTCAACTTGTTTGCCAAGGTTTGGGTATTGGAGTTATAGAGTTGAGAGTAGGTTTAACCACAATTAAGTAGCCTCCTCATCTTTAGCGACCTTCTCAGTCTTGGGGAGGTGAATTAACATTTTTTTAAAAAAATCCCCGCAAGTCGAGCACTGGTTAACTTGAATTTTTTTGTTTTATTTGGCCCCTTGAAACCAAAATTCTTCAGTTAAGAATTAAAAGATTAAAATTCTTCGTTTAAGTTGAATCCAGGGGCGTGGTGGCCCCAGAGGCTATGCAGGATTCCTGCATGAACCTTTTTATCTAAATATGGGCCTTTTTTCGAATTTTTTCTTTTTTCTACATTTAAAAAGAAATTTACTCAAAAATATTTGGATTTTTTAAAGAAAATCCACAAATATTTTTATATTTATGTTTATTTATTCTAGCATTTTCTAGAAAAGTTGTTTATCTAAATATATGTTAAAAATGAGTTAAAACTCTTTTTTAACATATATTTAGATTCTTTTTATATTAAACAAAATATTATTAGTTTATAAATAATATTTTGTGTTGCGTTTCTGCTCATTTCCATATATAAAGTTGCTTCATTACTCAAGTAATTATAAGAAAAGATTTGTAATTAAAACTTTTGTTATTAAAAATTAAATAAGTTTGATACTTTTAAATAAGCATGTATCTATTATTTTTATTTTGATTACATTGTATTTTAGATACTAAATTAAAAACGCAACTAAAAATATTGTATATTAAAAAGTATATTTTACTTTTTTTTATTATTCAAGTTATTTTATTTTTTAATTAAAATTATAAAGTTTAAATAGCTTTTTAAAAAATACTAAAGCTCTTTGAGTAGTTGCTCTTGTTTTTTTATAGTTTTTTAATAGATTTTTTAATGAAATTCTTATATTGGTCATTGGAACATATGGAGTTTATTTAAAAGTAATTTTGTCAAAACATTTTTAAAAAATCTTCAATTACAAACTTTTTTACCTTTTAGAAACATAAAAAAGTAACAAAGAACAAACATTTTTTTGCTTTTTTTATTTTTTTATTATTTTTTTTTTTTTTTAACATCTTCACTTCCAACAAGGCTGCAAGCAACCACTATAAGAGTTGGAAGTTACTGGAAGAGAAAAGACTAAATCTGTAGAGCAAGATAACGATTGACTGATGACTTATAAGATTGCAAATTATATGAATCAGGAAAGCAAGATGAAGGAAGCGAATTCCAAAGAACTGATGTTCGAGGAAAAAAACTAGAAGAATAAGAGTTTTTGAAGCACTTAGGAACAGTCACAGAAAAAGGATGAGACTTAATTGAATGGCGAGTAACACGAGAATGAATTTTAGTAGATGGCACAAGGGACGCTAGCTCTTTAGAGCAGTGCCCATTATAGTATTTGTAGAAAAGAGAAAGAGAAGCAACATTACGACGATGTGACAAAGGTTGGAGATTGGCTGCCAGAGCAGGTCCAACTATGTTTACAATTCGTTTTTGTACCTTGTCTAAAAGAGAAAGAGCATCATTAGAAGATCCGCCCCAGATGTGGCAACAGTATTCCATACAGGGACGGATTTGAGATTTATAGAGATAGAGAATAGAATCTGGAGTAAGAAAGTGTCAAGCTCGATAAAGAGATGCAACCTTAGCAGATGCTAATTTTGCAATGGATTTGATAAACGGTTTAAAAGAAAGATCAGAAGTAAGATTTAATCCTAGAAGATGAATGGTAGATGACTCATCTAGTACATTACCATTCATAAATATAGGAAGATCTAAATTATTACGATAACGATTGGCCGAATAAAATTGAGTTTTATCTGAATTAAAGTTCACCAGCCACTGTGAGCCCCATGCTGTAGCAGAAGTGAGATCCTTTTCAAGCTCAGATACCCCCTCCAAGCAATCAGAGAGTGTAGGCTTCTTATCATGACAAGAGTAAATGGTAGTGTCGTCAGCGAATAATGCCACCTTAGATGTGAGAATATCTGGAAGATCGTTAATGTAAATTAAAAAGAGTATAGGGCCAAGGATTGAACCTTGAGGAACCCCTGAAGTTACAGGATGTGAAGAAGAGTGTTGTCCATCGAGGACAACTTTTATACTACGATTGGAAAGAAAGGACTCAATAATCTTAAAGACGTTACCAGCTACACCATAAGAAGAAAGCTTATGGAGAAGACCAGCATGCCAAACTTTATCAAAAGCTTTAGAAATGTCAAGTGCGATAGCCTTAACCTCTCCACCTCTATCTAATGCACGGTAAAACCTATCGGTTATTACTGTTAGCACATCAGCTGTAGAACGAGAAGACCGAAATCCATATTGATGGTCAGAAAGTAAGTTATTTGATTCAAGATGAGAGATTAAGTGTTTGTTAATTAAAGATTCAAAAACCTTGCTTATGACAGGAAGAAGACTAATGGGACGGTAGTTAGATGAATCAGATCGCTCTCCGGAATTTTTGAAAATAGGGATAACAGATGCTGCTTTCCAGCATGATGGAAAACAAGACTCTGATAAGCACTTGTTAAATAGTTTAGAAAGTATGGATGAAAGCTCCGGAGAACACCTCTGCAAAACTACAACAGGAATGTTGTCAGGACCACAAGCTGTTGAAGAGTCTAAGCAGGAAATTACTTTAGATACAGAAGCTGAAGTGATGCGAATGTCAAGCAAGGGATCAACCTGTTTGACGGCTATGTCAGGTAAAACGCAACTAGTGGAATCAAGAGATGATATTGATGAAAAGTTCTTAGCAAACAATTCAGCTTTGTCTTTAGGTGAGGTGACAAAGTCTGAACCATACAAGAGAGAAGGAATAACAGATTTGCCCTTATTGTTGATACTGTTAAAGATTCTCCAGAAGTCTCGAGAGCCTAATTTTTGTGATGAGATACAAGATTTAATGACCTGGGAATAGCGAGTTTTGGCGTCAGACAAAACCTTTTTACAATGGTTTCTGGCGATAGTGAACAGATGTCTGTTTTCTGGAGAATTGTTTTGCTGATAGATATGGAAGTAACGGTTTCGATTAGAAATTGCTGCAGCGCAATGTGAGGAAAACCAAGGAGAAGAGTGAGGCTTAACCTGGAATCGCCGAGAGGGAATAAAAGATTCCATGCCAGCCTGAATCCACAAAGTTATGTAAGAAGCACATTTGTCAGCAGGAAGACGAAAGATTTCTACCCAAGGGCCATCACGAAGAAAATCACGAAAAGAGTCCCAGTCAGCTTTAAGGTAGTTGTATGTGGTACGATGATAGGGGGATTCTGATGAAGTAGAAGAATTTGATAATAGTTTTAGAGAGATCAAACCGTGATCAGAAGTACCTAAGGGTGAATGTGGAGAAATTGAGCACTGACTAGGATCCAAAACAAGACATAAGTCGAGTAGAGAAGGTAAATGATTAGGGTTGTCTGGAAAACGAGTTGGAAAGTTGACTATTTGAGTTAGAGATTGAGAAAGGCAAAAGTTGAGGGCCTTATCGCCAGCAGAGTCACTGACACTAGAGCCAAGCCAATCGGTGTGATGGGCATTAAAGTCACCAACAACGACGATATTGGCCGATGGATAAAGAATGAGGGCTTGGTCAATTTGATCAGAAATAACATCAAGAATAGTGCAATCTTGGGATGAAGGAGAGCGATATAGAACAAAGAGAAAGGCGATAGAGTGAAGTTGTGCTAAACGAAAGCACATAAATGAATAGTCTGTAGATTCAAACCTAGTTTCACGACAAATGGGTGAGTTCTTACGAATGTAGATGCCCAGGCCAAGCATGTGATTATTGGAGTCTTTACGAATTAAAGGAAGATAACCATCAACACTAAGATCACAAGATGGGACAGCCAAACTTAAATTAGTCTCACAAAGAGCAAGTAGGTCTGGTGAACTTTGCAAAATATAAGACTCAACAGAAGAAAAGTTACTTCGAAGACCACGAATATTAGTAAATGATAGGTTTAGAGAACTTGGTGATGACAATGGTTTTTTGTGTTTTTTAGTTTTAGGTACTTTAGTCATTTTAAATTTATAAAGAACTTGACTCAAGTATAGATAGTACTCAGTACACTATTTAACAACTAAGCAATAGCCTCATTACTCTTAATAAACCCTAAGCCGTAACAAAGGGCTCCAAATGTGGCCTCTGCAATGCACACCAAAAGTACAAACAGGGACACCATCCATGCGCAACATGGCACTGTTAGTACTCTGATATTTTTCGGCTGTTGATGGAATCAGCCTCTCTGAGAGCTACCACAGAGTTCGGGAAACCTGACTACCAGCCGGCCTCAGAACCATAAAACTGAGTTTTAGAGCTGTACCCTCATTAGGAGATAATAGAATGAGTTGCCCAGTCATAAAAATAGAGACGCAAGCAATACCCACGCATTGAGTCAAGAAGATCCAGCGTTCAACATCCTAAACTGGAAACAATGTATTAAGAATACATCTGCGCCAGCCTAATAGATGAGGAAGGGGTGCGAGGCTGGTCAACAGATAGAATCTGTTTACCCCTTAAGTCTTTGCCTAGGAGGCCTTCTACAAGACAGCAGCTGGATGCATGTAACATCTGCCCAAGATGAGTATTTTTATCGAGACACCATCTCTAGCCTTTACTCAACCAAGAGCCCCAAGGCAGGGGGTGTTTTAATTCGGAGTTAACTTCTCCTAGCCTTTGCCTAAAAAAGCGTATCCTACAAGGCAGCAGGACATGGAGCAGGTTGTACTGGGTTACATGTTACCAGTAGCAGGAAAACCTGACCTGACCTTAGACCTGACCTTTGCTTTGACCTGACCTGACCTGACCTTAGACCTGACCTTTGCTTTTTTTATTATTGCATAAGGGGTCG